TTTCGCCATAAGATCGTCCATTTTTCATCATTCTGGACAGATACACCAAGACTATTGGGAACGGTTACGATTTTATCCAGTTCCTCAATTTTTACTGTAGATGCATGACTACCCATATCCATATCAAGTGGCGCTTCACTCTCCGTCAACAGCATGTACTGTATTGACAAATATTGAACTGTCAGTACTAGTGTTACTAGCACAATCACCATCCCTCTTCTTATAGACCGAAAGCTGGGAGGCTCACCGCCTCACTCGTACAGAAAGACATAAAAAGCCAATAAGTGTTAGGCTTCAAGCATCTTTTGTAGGCGATGGAACTTAAACGGTTGCACATCTTATGGGACTACTTTTTACACACATCATATTGTATTCCTTCTTCCACAGGGAACAAGTTATTTGGCCGTCTACATTTATAAGTACTACCAACCAATGGAATTAGATTAAGAAGGTTCAAAACACAATATGAACGCAAGTATCAGAACCAACGAGAAATAAGGCACCAGAAGACGAAATTAGGCAAAAGATCGAACCTTAATCGAAATACTTCAACTTAGGTCAATAATGTTTTTGACGCAACACGTACACAAGAGCAAATTAATCATAACAAGTACAAGTACCGCAAAAAAAGATTTGCTAAATTATGGAAATATATTGTCCTTATTTCTTAAGACCATGCCAGATTTTCTCATAAAGGGACTCTCGAGAAGTAGCTTAGCCAGTAGCGAACTCCAACATTTGACTACTCTCAAGAAATAAAAGGTGTGCCTACAGCCCGCTCAGATGTGTTGCATTTCCAGTTTCTGAGTGTCACTCCAACGTTTGTGCAGGGACTAAGCTTAAGGGGATACCTTAAAGTGTTTGAGATGCTTTAAATCATTGGGTCGTCTCCACGACCCCCGTACTCTAATGGGTAAACGTTCAGTGATTAGAGTTGATCTTGATAAAACTTGGATTTGAGTACACGAACTGATATTATGGATACGTTCCAGAATGTCCTTATCTTTGTGTAGTCAGGGATGAAATAATATGTTTCTGTACTATTTTCGACTTGAGATATTTCTAAGGGGGAGTAATCCCAACTGTATTCGTAGTCTCCAGCACACCTCAGACGGACTGCTTTACACTTTTAAGAGTTAAAGGTAAGTCCGCTGTTGTCTGCTCAACTGTGAAGTCGAGTCAGATCCTCTTGAAGTGACAGTTTATACTCTTGGTTGCAGACTTCTCTCCAAAGATTCATATCGTAAGAGAATAGTAAAAGCCTGAAGATACATCCAGCAGGAGATTGTTTCAATAAATTAAAAAATAAGAGGTCCTAATATTGAAGCCTTTGGGACCCCACAAGAACATTTCATGGCCTGAGAAATGTAATCAAAGGCTTGACAGCGGTGAATCACCAGTCTTCTAAGTAAGAATTAGATATGTGAAGTAGGCGAAAATAAAAATGAACTTTAAATATATCACACTCATTGAGTATACTGTCATAATGTACCTAAAAAAGCATTTCATTGGTTCAGTAGATGGAAAAAGCCTTATAAATAATGATCAACTATTAGATTTTGATTTCAGACCTTGAATTCCATGGTACTTGAGTTAACTGTATCACTTGTACAACCAAGATATACTGGCTTTAGCATGTTTTCATCTCAGTGAGTTTGTCAACCGTACAAACAATGATTCCTATGTAAGTCTAGAGAACTAAAAAGGTGTTTAAAATTGTTTTATGGATATATTTTGTTCATTTAAACTAATACAACCTTTATCTTTAACTAAATATCCCATTAATTACGACATTTCAGAGTTCTGAAACCAGATTAGATTGATCTAGCAGGAGACAGGATTTGTGACGTTGGTAATACTATTTTTCGCTAGAGTAATTTTACACTATTTTTAAAGCGTTATCGACAATTTGCAGCATTAGTTTGTGAGGTAGCGCGAAACCTAGGTCTACGGTTTCCTATCGACTACCTCAAACCACCATCTTATTGGTACTGGTGCCTTCCCTTGAGTGCATTTATGCCATGTTCTTAGTTTCCTCAGATCACCTATATTTGCTGTCAATAATTATATATATACAGATGGTATTATCTGATTCCTTTCGTTAGGTTTGGTGTTTGAATTTTGTAATTTGTTGCATTTCACACATATATGTATGTTTGCTTTGAAATTCTACCAACCTTGATCAAGAGAAATTGATGAGTTCACTATGTTTTTTTATTTATTCAGTATGCATACAATCTCATTTATGAATAATACAAATACGTTTAATAAAACATTCAAAAATATTTGACTTAATCAAAATTTGTGCATACCGAAAAATCATTACAGTTATAAAATAATATGTATCGTGCAAACATACTGACGACCAAATAAATTATGCGTGAATTACGGGTTTTCAATTTACAGTTTGGGGCGCACCTATGAACAAGTGTCATGCATGAAATTTCGAAAATTATGGTTTTTCAATCCGAATAAAGTCCAAATTGTTCAGTGATGAACTCGTACTTCTGGATAAATCAAAACTCAATCATCCAGTGAATAAGGTGGCATGATTTCTAAACAAATGTAGGTGAGAGTAAAAAATAAATATAGAAGTCTTGAATAGGTCATGTAACTCAATTCTTACTTCAACGCGTCAACATCAGTGCTACATGACAAGAAATAAACAAAATCACTAAAGAATATGAAATCGGTCGGTATTTAGGGAATTAGAGCTTTGTAACCCTCGATATATCTATAGAAAAATACGGACTAGTAGTCAATAGGTATTATGGATGCCACAGTCATTAGGAGTTTGACGACGTCTTTACATATAACTCCTTAATAACGGAAGTATACCAACACAGTAAAATCAGAAGTCGGAAATGAAAGGGTTCGAAAATATCGTTGGAAGGTTTCCACTAAGTTGAGAAGCGTTTAGTGTAAACTGGCTGATAGTTGTAAGGGATGCGTGACACATCGTACGCACTCGTGATCGGGTGCAGGTGAATGTATGAACGATTTCTGCTGTGTCTAGAAAAACTAATTGGGTTAGAATCGATGTTGAAGATGCACAAGAATATTTACTTTGGAGATTTACTTACAGCCCTTGTTTAGATTATGGAGCATGGGAGTTCGGGGGCGAGGTTCTCTTTTCCAAACGCATAGTGTTTTCAACATTCAGTATAGAATAATAAGAAATATGATGCCTACGCAGAACAAGCAAGTAAATAACCACTTAAGCTGTGATATGTTGATATTACAAAGACGTTTTTCGCCGACTGGTGACTAATGTAATGTAAGTAATTTTGGCTCGATCAATTTGTTAAAGTAAATGTGATGGTTCGGTTTACGCACGGTATTGCAGAATCACTAACTCATCCAATCTTTGACCTTTTTCTTATGCAATCGATGGAAACCACTACTCAATCAACATTCAAAGATAGTCTATAGATTTCACGCACCTATTTTACTAGCTTGTTAACATATCTCGATATTATATACTTCTGTTCCACAAATTATCGCCGGTGATTTGAAGCAGGAGTTATCTACATAGGAATGAGAGTTATTAAGTGAATGGAAAGTAAGAAAATGAGGCAAGAGCGTCTGAGGAAATGCTGTGAGTAGGCTTCCCAACAATATTCTGATGAGGTACTGTAGGAAGCAATTTCCTACAGGTGTAACTAAACTATTCTCTAGACCGTCGAATACGGAGTTTTGGTTTGGCCAAAGTCAAAACGAGCAAGCTATTTGGCTAGATAAACTTTATCTGTTTCGAACAGTAGCTAGAGAATAGGAAAAATGAGTCAACAAGCAAATATTGTTTTACAATGAACATTAAACTGTGATTGGTTAATAAAGAGATACAGTCGTACAAGGTCAAAAGGAGTTAATGTGGTGGTGGGTGTTTCCCTATATTATTGGTGGGTTCGTTTATCGATCACATTTTACAGGTACGATTTTTTCAAGCTCTGTTCGACTTTCATGTATTTATTCACCTGCCTCTTGAATCGCCCTCAGATTAAAAATAATGATGAACCTTTCTCGAAAAAAAGTGTTGAAAGTCAGTCAAACCTGAAGAAGTGATACACGTTTTGTGCAAAATAATCAAACACAAAAATAAATGCACAATTACAGGTGATATGTGTTCATTTCCACATGAATTTTGCTTCCAGAACGGGTTAGTTATTTGGAAGGAAATAGACACAGTGTAGACATCTTGGGCACGAAAATGCAAGTAAACAGAAATTTACTTTTTTGTGAGAAAACATACATGAACCTGCTGTAAAATGAATTTATCAACAAAGTTGGCCAAGTGTATGACTTTGAATCTGTGATGAATTCCTTCTATAACCGGGTTTGTAACCGCGGATATAGTGTTCGTTGGCCAGAAAAATCACCACAAGATTAACAAAAATGATTAAAATACTGAGGGTCCTAGAATCAAATAAGTTTCTTAGGGTCAGCAACATGAGATTGATACAGAATAACTATTTGAATGGTTTGTTGTTAATATGCATGTTATAATAAGACTATATGATGTGAGTACCATTGATTACGTTCATAGATTATATAACGAGTTTAGGAAGAGCTCTCCTACATCTTTTACGAAGAGCTGCTGAAATGCTTACATGCTTTCAACTTATGTTGATGTAGAACAGGAAATGGTCTAATCAGTTTCAGTTTGAAAAGAACAGGAGGTTAAATGGCTGGTGTTAGTCCTGGCCAATAATATTGATATTATGTACCTTAGATAACTGTCTGGGTTCCAATATCTCCTATCATTTGTCTCTTCGAGGTCATCTGCAGAAGGTTCAAAAACCGAGGTCTATTAATCTCAACGTGCGGTTTTGTTTGTCTCATCGAGTGATGAATGACTGATGCGCTCTAATGAACAGGAAGCATTGCCTTACTGATAAAAGCGTTCGAAAAACAACTTAATTTTCATAGAAGACAATTTATTAGATGAGAATATTTTTCAAGAATTGGTTAATTTAATAAAGTAGGTTTAAACACACCCTACCTTGGGACTTTCAAGGCCAGCTTCCTATTTCCGCGCATCTAATAAGGGACGCTTTTTGGGTCTTTCATTTTATCGCGGTGTTGGTGTAGATTTATACTGATCATTTGGTAGTCCTTAATCAAAGTACGCATTTGGTTTCAAAGTCATATTGTTGTTTTGCTTTTTAATTCGCGCCATTTTCCAGGACAATGATGATTTCATAAAATCCACGTGTCTCACTGTTTTAAAAATACTGGTTTGTACATAAGGTGGCCATGTGATTTTCTGCTTCCATATTATGTAACAACCACAAAGTTGCGGTGCACTTGTTACCATTTATTTATGTGCTTGGATAAGCCTAAACAGCTTTTCTGTAACTTCGAAGCACGGCCTAAATATTTATTACAGTAACCACAAAAATAGGAAAGCCCATTTTAAGATTTTATTATGAATAGAGGCTTTGTTTTGTTCGAACACCTTTTGTTTCTTTATAGCGGTTTCAGTGGTTCTCGTCAGGATATATAAGCCTATATAATCGTAGAATTATTTTGCGTCCGAGTAAGTCTGAGATTTTGGATACTCTTTCGGGGTCTTTAACTTCAATCCTCCTAGATTGTACGTATGTGTCTTGAGAAAATTTTCAGAATTATGACTTATCTAAGTGCCTTACGATTAGTTCTGCCTTATCAATTCCTTGTGAAGTTTGACCTATCATTGATTTGTAACTAAGCAATGTGGAAACAGATTCATGTAATAGTAGTAGGTTTTAAGTACGAACTTCATTTGGGATTGACCTTGAAGTGCATTCCAATATCTAGAGCTAGGTATATCACTCCTGGTCATATCCAGTTTTCTCGATCAGTGTTTGTTACTCCTTTAGAGCTTGGGCAAAAAGGAATACTTTAAAGAATTTTATGGGTAAATATTTCGAGGTAATAAACGAACACTAATGTGCAAAACCAAAGTAATTTCAGCTTTTTTGTTGGTGTATTCCTAGGTTATATAAAGGCTCCACATCAAATAAAGTGAAAATGCTCGATCGTCATCCGAGTTTTGGTCATTTTGTTGCATACAAATCCTTTCATTTAAATTTAAGGCGTAGGTCTGTTATGTGCGCTCTATGAGCAGAATAAAAATCACTACACATCGGATATCGTACGTGGTAAATTCTTTGAATCTCTGGTAGAGTGATGTGCATTTCGAAAGTAAACACTACTTAAAGTGATGATAGTTTTACCGTAGAGAACCTGTATGAAATTTTTGCTATCCTTAATTACTTATTAGTATACTTCAAACGATAGTAGTTATTCAACCTTTTGAATCGGAAAACTTCTTAACGACTTGGCGAACATCGTGACGTTTTAATCTGTTTTGTACATATGATAGTTCAAAATCCATCTCCGGTTATTCGCTGATGACGTCATGTTTAACTCTTGATAGCATAGATTTTCATCATCAGCTATTCAATAATGTAGGAAAGACCTATTAAATGGTAATTATTGATCAGTTAATAAACCACGGTTTGCTTGTCATTACTACTTCGTTGTGTTATTTTGAATGTATCGAGAATATCTTTGGGTATCAGTATTTGGTCAATTTTTTCGGCGCATTTGATTCGGATACGATCTACACATCCCTAATATTTATTTAAACTTCCCCTATATTGTTTTGTGAGCCTTTTCTTCTTAAAATCCTCGTAAGCTTTTGAATTTTATTATAATCTCGTGGGTTGGAATAGGGTGTGCTAGTCTTCTACCGAATTTATTCACTTTACATGTCGTTTCTCATCTTGTACTGTATACATGGAACCATAATTCAAAAGGGTGTTTCAGTACACAAAAGTTCACAGACATCGATTTATCTTGTGTATACACTAACTGTATATGTTATATTTTAAGCTGTGAAATTTTTCGTACCAATTATTTTATGGTCTATATTTTATTTGCAATTTAATATATTTGTTTATGAAACATTTTGGTTTGTGGGTTTTAAAGCTGATATTCTTCTTTCTTATTAACGTTTGAAAATGGTTATCTCCTTTTAAATGAGATTTATATACAATCTCTTTGTTTATCCTGATATTTGTTGTTTTCCACCATCCCACAAGTGGTGGTTTTACAATTAATTGGAGCATTCATGAGTTCAGTGGCTATACAGAAATGGCTTTCTGCCTTTTAATTCTCCGCTTAACCTAGGGTTATGTATCAGTAGTGGTGTAATGTCGAGCATGTTATTTTCTCTTGTCCGTCTCTGCGTCGTGTGGTATCTTGACTATCTTTTGAATAGTTAACTGAGCAAACATTACTTGTGTAGCTTTGCTGTCATATCACAAATTGTTTCATCCTTTTTTCACCCAAATTGAGGTTTCTCATCGTTTTGCTCTGGGTTTTGTGTTCTTCTTGATTAATGTAGTTGGATGTATCTCCTAGTCCCTCCTAAAAGTTAAATAATTGTATATCGGACTTATTTGTCCGTATCTTAGAATTTCAACGTAATTAGTCGTTAGATGATTTTTATTTCATTTATCGATTAATTGTTTACGTGACAGATAATCTGCAGTCTTGTTATCTCAAGTGACTTCTTTATTTTAAGCAATAGGTTTATTTTTCTAGCAATTTAAAATTAAATAGTTCTGTTTCTGATGTTCATTCGTTTAACGTTTGATCCTTGGTTTCATGTAGATTTACACATCTACTCACTTTACTCAACTATCAGTTAACTATCATTCATATTTGTGTTGAATGGGATAAATAGGTGTTTCTTATCTTTTTTAAGTAACGTGCTTTTGTTTCTGTTTTTCATTCAAAACTCAGCCGTAGGAGATGTGCTGTCTATATTACTATGAAAACTAGGATAGTAGAAGAAACTGGAAGCAAAATGTAGAAGTACCAGTCAGAAGACAAAACGTTATACTATTACCTCTATAGTAAATAAATATCTTTTGCTTGGAAGTAATCCTGTCTACTCAGTACACTAAAATACGCCAATGAAACTCAACACTTTGTCAAAGGGTTAAACTAAGTCTGTTGGATAGTTTGTAACTAAATATTGTCAGCTTACTAGAGACTATTAGTTAGTGACAATATTACTGGATTTTTATATGTTTCACCTTTGTAATCTATTTCTAGTTGGATTATTGTAGTACCTGAAAACCTTATGGGTGCTAATTTTTTTTCAGGCTTCCTACATGGATAAAAAACTGGCTGAATCTATTGAAGAATGGATGAAGCATGACAAGGTAACTGCCTTTTCGTTTTTATGTTATCGATTTTGCTTAAGAATGAAAACACGCGCTCACAAATCAAGTTACTTAAAGATAAAGAAGCGTGGGATGAGTTACGAAAGTTATTGCTAGAAAGAATGGCATTTGGGACTGCTGGTACGTATAATTTAGAGTTTCACTAATATTTTTTTAGGATTACGAGCAAGAATGGGACCAGGATATTCTCAGATGAATGACCTAACAATTATACAAACAACTCAGGTAATGAAAATTAGTCTTAATCCCTATCAGTTTCAAGGGTTTACTTAAGTATTCGCTAAAAACATTCTCAGGTCTCAAGTCAGATGGAATTATAGTTGGTTATGATGCTCGACATAATAGCAAAAAGTAATATTTTTTCAACTAATATGTCCTATCCATCTAGATGGGCGCTTATTGTCACTAATATATTTATTAATGCTGGCTGTAAAGTGTACTTGTTCAAAGATACATCCCCAACTCCTATGGTCGCATTTGGTGTTAGGCTCTTCAAAACGGCCTTGGGTGTTATGATTACTGCATCTCACAATCCGAAAGATGACAATGGCTACAAAGTAAGTATCGCTTTCTTAACCTAGTTTTTTAAAGGTTTACTGGTCGAATGGATGTCAGATAATCAGTCCCCATGACAGTGGTATATCAAGTTGCATCCTTGAAAGCTTGGTACCTTTGGAAACTTCATGGAACATAGATAATATTGAGGCGAATCCTCTCTGCTTAGATCCAATGCCTAGGCTTTTGAAAACTTACTGTCGACTACAGAAGAGTAGACTTTGTTTTACAGAGTAAGTTGTGTTTACTTTACCATATATATAACTCCTAGTTTACAAAAAGTAGGGTGAAAATATTTGATAGATGGATCTACCTTAATCTGTGACTAGATAGCTTCCTACATACATCGATAAATGTTTAACGAAAAGAAATAATATATCCATTTATTTGAAATGTTTTTTTCTGAAGCAGTTTGTTGTACCTTTTCCATCGTTTGTCTTCCGAATCTAGTCCACCATTGTTGTACGTTCGTATTCTTGGAAAACTTCAAACCACCCATTATTCTGCCCTTAAGAACGTATCTAGTGGAATAAAATGATTCACAATTTTTCTTTTGCCGACTTATTGACCATGTTACACAAAAGTTGCCAGTCCGATCAGCATCAAAGTTTGAGTATTACAGTGGTTGGTATTTTAGTTTATTCATAGGATTTGGGGAATTATTAAGCTATTTCAAGCATTGTTTTTTGATGCTGCTAGTTCTATAAGCCATGCAACGAAGCCATTCTGAATATATTTAAGGTCTCAAGGAAATTCTTTTCTATCAGCTTAAATCCCTGAAATTCAGGACTGAAACTCTGAATATTAGTGCTTATTTGTTAGCTCCAGTGGTAACCACTAATTTCGACTATCTCAAGGACAACATAATCCTTCAGGGCTCCAAATAGTCGATTCCCTCTTATCATCTAAAATCAAATACAGTATGTCGATGTGTGGCACGTCTTAGTTCTATCATCCTTGAGAACTTGACAGTGACATTGATTAGTATTTTGAATTCAACTCGTATACATTCTTGTTTTCTGTGTGAAAAAAGTGTATAGGCTGAACACAATTAATCAACTTTCCTTCGAAGTAAAACGTATTTATAACGGTCTGTAGTTAATTTGTAGAGTATATTTTTTATTTTCCTTACTTTTGGTTTTAATTATTAGATCTGAAAATATAAATTGCAAAACCCCTTTTGTGTATACACCTATGCATGGTGTAGGTTGGGAAGCAGTTAAAGCATTAGTTTCGTGTTTTGGGTTTCCTCCACTTGAACCAGTTCCTGAACAGGTATGTTCTGGTTTCCTGTAATCTGATTTTTTAAATGTATATGATGTATCGTAAATATTTAAACGTTTCCAACTACCCCTCTACTCGATTAATACGTGAACACAATTTAAGCACATTCAGAAATATATGTTGCTCATCAAACAAGTGTAACGCTAATATTACTACGAAAATCATTTAGCATCCAAAGAATCCTCTTCACGCTTAATCATACTTAGTTCAAATCATTCCGAGTTTTGAATACACATTCAAATTAATGAACATATTATAATATTTCGATGACTGGCACTTCAGTAAAATACTACAGTAATATTTAATCTCTTGGTAAATCACATTCTCTTTGTTATTTGAGGCGTATCAGAAATTTCCAACAGTATTCCTAAACTTTTATTGCAAATTTCAAGCTTATTGATCAACTATTCTAACGAAATAGCTTTTCAATGTTATGTTTGCTAATAACATTAGTCAGTGTCTGCTTAAATACTTGCATGGTACTAATGTTAATGAAACTGAAAAAAAACTGTATTGATTAATGAATAGATTTTAGCCGAAGGGAAACAATCAACCGTTTAAAATGCTTTACAATTTGATTTCTTTAATACTCCTCAGGATACGTATAAGTTGTTCTATTTCAATCAAGACTCCTATTTCCAGGCTTTTCGGCCTGGATACAAACTAGAGGTTAAGCGTTCGCGCGCGAAATCGTGAATGCACACTGCTGAGGAGTCGTCGTCAAGTGCTTCCAGTTTTTGATGATGGTCTAGCGTGAATTGACTCGTGAATTCAACTTCGAAAATACTGCAATCTCCACAAATCCCCTAAAATCGATAAACAACTATTAAACTATTGATTCTTGTTCCAATAAATGACAGTTTTAATTTGAGTTAATTCATGATGTATCCTAACTGATTCACTAGCATCAATTGTAATCTCAGTTTTGGGAATGATCCAGTTAGTACCAAAAGTTAGAACTCCATATTGAAATTTTAAGTGCTCGTCACCAGAGTTATGTTTCTACCAACCTAATGTTTTCGAATCGTTTAAACTTATTCCGTACTACTCTAAAGCGTATTGATTTATTACTACATATGTTGCAGTTTACAAGATATAGAATGATTTTCACCAAGAAGTATAAATTGATTTTCGTTATTGACTTCTCAGTGATTTGGTTCATATCTAAAACTCAATCCAATTTATACTTAATATTGGAAGTTGTACAGGGGTTCACATATTTAATGTGGTTTTGTGAAATACAATCTAGTTAATTCTATTCGAATACATTGACAGGAGTTTTTCTTACTGTCTATCCTAGTGCTTGTATCGACAATCACTGATTTTTATGTCAGGTCGCTTTTTAACAATGCGGATTTCAGCAATCGTGTTGACTTGCTTTATAAGCGTATCATCCACATAAAAACTAACTCGAAAAATTTATAATTTTGTACTTACAACTTTTCCTTAAAATCTCTAAAGATAATGCCTGATCCAGACTTTCCAACCGTTGACTATCCAAATCCAGAAGAAGGTCGTTCTGCACTCAATTTAGGTATTAAACATGCGGAATCTATTAAAAGTACCATCATTTTTGCCAATGATCCAGACGCTGATAGACTAGCAGTTGCTGAAAAACAAACATCGTAAGTTGATGAATACATTTAGTCTCAATCAGTTAAATAAAAAACGTGCTGTACGTTTGCAGTTAAAATAAGCGAAGATTTTTTTGTAAACTTTATATAAGTTTCTTCTTACCTGAGGTAAATCTAAATCAGTTATGGTAAAATATTTAAAATTGATTGGTCACTGTGTTGTGATTAATATTGCGTTTGTCCATGTGTTTAGTACTGATCAAATCTTGTCCATCAAGCTGCAATGTGGTCACAAGCCTAAGTGACTCAACATCGTGTGCACTATGTTGATATGTTAAGTGGTTAACACGTTCCGTGCTATTTAGAAGTTGTCAATGACGTATACTTGTAGTTCTGCGGGAACTAATATTTACTGGTTGATTCAAACCTGCGTCACCCAGCTCCAAGGTGTGAAATATCACCACTGACCTATTCGGACAACGATACGAGTTTCGTATATCAGTTAATTCCCATTGAAATTAATGCCTGTTTATCAAACCTTACTCTTTTTTTATCATGCCAGTTACGTCAATTTCTGTAGTAATAAATCTATGCATCTATCTAATACTAGTTACTACAGATTACCAACATAATTTTTGTGAAGACCCATAGAAACATTATGTTTTCAAATCCAAACAGACCATTACACATTTTGACTGAAAATGCTTGCCTTGTTACAAGTTAATATTTTATTAATATTTTACTAAAGAATATCATATGTATTTAATTGGTAGTGGTCAATGGAAAATTTTCAGTGGCAATGAACTTGGAGCTTTATTTGGTTGGTGGTTATCTCTGCAGTGGAAAATTCACAATCCTCAAGTAAAACGTATGTGATTACAAAAACACATTATTCAAATTTTGAAGCGTTTTTTTTTATTAATCTGGGATTCAATATAGCTTTTTTTAAATAAAAGCTTGTTGTTTAACTAATCCAATTTTACTGAAGCTAAGAGTTAAGTAGGATAGATATTGTATTTGTTGAGTAAAGCAAAGTTATCATAGTTGATTATATGCACATAGACCTTGTGGTACATATCTTTTGTTTTTATTCTTTTCCCAGATGTATGGTCTGATCTCTTTTCCTCTACACCTGATACTGGAATTTATGACATCCTGATATCCTAAATATTTTTATTTTCGCTAGTATTAGGCTAATAGATTTACAGTTTTAGAAATTTATTTTTTAGTAGGTTAATTTGATTCTTATTGGTTGAATTCTATTTTATCAATTCAGCCCAATCACGTACGTAATGGTACTTAGTTATGATTGTCAAACTATATATATATATATATATATATATTATTTAAACACATAAACATAGGTACAAGAAGGCACCTAATAGATATGCGCCACATAAATCATTCAATTTGTGTGAGGGCTAGGATACTGCCCGGGTTCTCAAACCGAAGTAGATAGTTTTCTTAGGGGACGACACCCAGAGCCTTCGACTTAAAGGTCTAATTCACAAGGCAGTGGAGCAACGTCAGGAGGTGCAGTCCCACGGTGGCCAGTGACAAACGATTGGTTCATACTCCATTTGTTCCTTCAAGATCCTGGAGTCCATGTGCACCATTGGTTTGGAATCAGGGTTTTCCAACTCCCCTAGGTGGACCCTCCGTGTCCGACGACCCGGTTAAAGCGCCAGACATTCGCTTTTCGTTCTCTCAATTTCGTAAACAATAGTGATGTCGCGAGAAGGTAGTGATTAGGACTTCCCTTGCAGTGGCTGTATACGCGTGGCTATGTGAGAGCACTTCGAAAGGGAGAGTCGACTCTCCCCACTCTAGGCCATACCAGTGTATTTGGGGAGCGAAGATCCATTCACTCTTCATTTTACTTTAGATCTCGAGTTCGATCATTCTATAATACATACCTTTTCATTTGTTCTTCTCGAACTATATTATTAATGCTTAATCATTCTTATTTTCATCGCTACATTATTTCGACTCCATTGGTATTCCTATGGTCAGCTTCACCTCAGTCTGTTATGGTATAGCAACTTCTGCTCATACACATATATACCAGGCTCTAATTCGATTATGATTGACTGATTAAAACTAGTGAAATGTGTTTATGTTACGATGATGTCTAGAAATGTTTAGATTTGTTGGGTTTCATAACTCATCAATACCTTTTCATGACCCAGTAAGCTAATTTTTTTAATTTCTTTTTTCCTTGTTAGTTGATATTCTAATGTATTATCTATTTTTTTACTGGTTCAAAATTATCATTTATGTATACGAATGTAATGTGTTATTTAATTGCTGTTTATTAAGGTAATGAGAGATTTATTACAAACAATTAATCTTATCGATTCCGGTTGTTACAAAATAGTCGAAGTATTGTTATCTCATAGATTCTTCATTGTCGTGCTACTCTATTAATGTTTAGAATGTAGGTACTTGGTTTTTATTCTATAAAAGACGCGGAGTTCGATAGCTGATTGAGTAGTTACGTTTTTTCAACACCAATCCTGGTTAGCTGACATTTTTGGAAACTTGTGTAAATTAAAATAGTATATGTAATAAAAAACATTCGTACAGGTAACTATATTTTCCATCTACATAAAATACTACAGATCGTATCTGACCTTAGTTTTATATATATAATGCATAAACCATGTAATTATTTACTTTGTTTATAGTTAAATTCATAAAAAATAGGTTCATATAAGCTAGTTAGCTTCTTAATTATCTTATCGACAATCATGTGTTCATACAATCGATACTGTTAAAAAATTCTAATATGTAGAACTTCCGGCCTATATATATATATATATATATATATATATATATATATATATATATATATATATATATATATATATATATATAGTAATGACGATTTAACTACAAATTGTTGAATTAAAAACTAAGTGTATTCAAGATTCCTATGAAATAGAATTGTCAAGATATTTAGTTATCAGTCATATTTCGGTATATAGTAAGATAGTGCTCATCAGGGATTAAAATTAGTTAGGAAAAACATTGAGCATCGTAAACCTTCAGATAACAAGTCCTTCTTGGTCTGCGACTAATGTCAATGTGTAACAGTGTAGTTTCCGAAGGTTTTCTAACATCCAGTGGCAACAGTATGTTAGTAACGCTGAGGTTCAAAAATATGCGTTCGAGCTTAATGATGGTAAATCACATAGTGTCACCATCTACAAACACCGACTTCGGCAAATCGAAAATATTTTGCGATCATCCCAGCGACCTCTATATCATTCATTATTTGCCGATACTGTATGACATATGATATTTTTGGCGCTTGGTTCTATCAGAATTTATGCTCATTAAGTAGTTATATATATTCGAGGCGACCGTTTCACTTTTTGTCTCATACCGCTGTTACATAGAAATTTGTTATAGTATCATTCTTTAGAATGTCGAGAAATATCTTAAACTTAATAGCGAAAGTAAACTTTTATGATCAATTTTGTTATATGCATATCTTTTTCTTTAAAAACACCACAACTAAAAAATGAACAATTGTCTACCGAAATTCACAAGCTATTTAGACATTCCTCTTAAGAAAAAGTTTAGACTACTTTTTTCACTCATTAGGTTCATTCTTATTTTGAATATTCAGGTCGAGAAAATAACAAAATTTTACTACCCAGTAATATAGCTACAAGAAAGTATTTTTTAAAATACTTAGACAAAACAGTTATGTAGAGAAATACTAAGTAATTGTTAGCGTGGCAGAGCAGTAGTAACATTAATGCTAATACAACATTGTCTATCTGTTGTCAAGTTTACCTGTTACTATCCTTTCCCTTTAATTTTTGCATGAAGAAACGTGTTAATACTCCTGTTTTATGTATGTAAACTTGTATCGAATAAAACTAGAGTTTCATATTCATCTTAGGGTAATCATGTATTACAGACTATGTTTATAGAGAATAATCAATATCCTTGAGAGGTTAACAGTTCACCTTGTGCCTTTTTATTTTCACACACTTAGTTTAAACCTACAGTGCATCAAAATTTGTCAACTGTTAGCCAATGTGAAATAACGATATTTCTAAAAGCTTTTTTACAAATCAGGTTAAACTATGCTCAAAAGCGAATTATTTAAGTTTCAAATAGAATCTAAGTATATTTTTTTTACAAAACAGTACAACTAGTACAATCGGAAAACCCATATTTGCTGACTTGCATTATATTCAAGAACTATAAGGTTTACTGAAATAAATGTAGGTACGTTTTGAAGTCAGTGAAGTACTAGTTTCTTTATGGAAAACTAAGCATTTATGTGCTATATGTAAGTAAATGAATAACTTCACGTTCAATAATTGTTATTTCTATCAATTCGCATTAAAAACAATTTGAAATGATTGTCCTTCTGGCTATTTATTGACAAATACAATAGTGGTTTTTAGGTTCAAATGATTAATTTCCCAATTGATTTTTATCGTAGCGTAATCTTATTTATTCCATTTAAGTAACTTAGTTGTCTTCACCTGGGACGTTTATCTTGTAAGATATTGATCATAATTGTTAACTTCCTGATCTTAAGATCGATTATAGACAAACATTAGTAATCGGAAGTAAATGATTCTTCTTGTATTCATCTATTTTTCCTGATAAATTTTAGACCAAGCAAAATATCGACCATTGTTATTATGGAGTATATATAATAAATTATGTAATATTATTCGCTTGTTCGCTGTTTTTTCTAACCTTTGTAAGAGTTTGTCTGTTTCAATCACTTTGCGTCAATTATTCTACAAGGAAATAAAGCTACAATCCCTGCAAACATCAGATTCTGTAATGAAAGTATGGCTTCTAAGAGTCTGTGTACTGCCTACCTCACATGCGTTACATCATGATTATTGTAGTTAGGACCTTTTCCTGCCTTAACTTGAGAAACTAAATTAAGCAATTCTGGACTCTCAGTAAAAACCATTGGAAGCGGAATCGCCATTGCATTTTCAAATGAGTTGAATAACCAGTTAAGGTTCAAGGGATGGTGAATGTACAGTTACATATATTTCTGCAATATTATACCCATCTATAATCATTTCTAGGTCAACCATGAATAAAATAAATAAACTACCAATATGAATGTAAATTGTTTAATTTCTACATGTGATGCAGAAAATTAGTGCTATTAGAGCTTTAGGTATGTTTTAATAAAACTCCCCAGATTAAAGATAGATACTTACTTTAAAGTCTTTTAATTTATTACGGTTCTACTACTAGCATATACTTTTTTGCACTTTACATCACGGACTGACCTTACTTAGAGAACCACTGAAAACTCGGCAACATTGGATAGCTTTTCGTCCCAATATGAGACTGCTCTTCACTGCACATCTTCAACCCTATCGAGAATCGAACCCAGGACCTTTAGGTCTGGTAGCGATCACTTAAATTTTAAACCACTGAATGGATGTCCAATTGTTTACATCTTTAGCTTCAATCAATTCTTTATGTTAAGTAATCATCGTCCAGTGCTATTGGTTAGTTACTGGCTCACCCTCGTGATGGTTGAACTCCATTAGTCACAATTATCTAACTAATGTCATTTTGTGATATAACCTATGAAATTCAACAATCTCCGCAAATCTGTACTAATATACGCTTTCTCAAAAACATCACTTTTTTATATGAACTAGTCGCGTATGATCTCTTTTTCGAAAGTTTCAGTTTCATTTAAAAATGTTAAGGCATAGCTATACCTTATCTATTCTACGTTTATGATAAGATTTATTCAAAGTCGTTAAAATTCCTGTCTCATTTGTATTTTGAATCAAGAAAAATGTACTTGTCACTGTCATATATTTTAATTCACTAAATATTTGATCAAACCACGTATCAGGGCATAGTCGAGCCGATTTTTGGGGTTTATTGTAAGATAGTAACGACGAAAAATTTAAATTTGTGTTTCATGACTTTCACAATCCACACTAAATTTTCTACCACCAACACTTAATACCGTTTCTTATTATTACCAAGATGCTTGTTCAATGAGTTGAAATCGCAGAGCATACAGTCCATTGTAATATTTAATTTAATTTTATGTTACTATTTTACAGCTTCCAGTGTTGCTGTATTATCTAGTACTGTGTCTTCTAAAATATTAAAAACTATTGCCGAGCAAGAAGGGTTTCGATTTGAGGAAACTTTAACTGGTTTCAAATGGTTGGGTAATCGATCCTGTGAGCTTGAATCGCAAAATATTAAAACAATTTTCGCTTTCGAAGAAGCTATAGGTAAGATTCATCATTATTCCCTGTTATACACTGTTCTTCCTGTAATTTGTTTGTCACTAGGAGAAATCATAAACATCTTATGAATTCAATGGTCTAATTTATCATATCGTTTCTTCTAAACTCTTTACTCTTTTGATGACACTTTGATTTAATATCGAATTTCCTTAAAGTTTCAGTAAAATATTTAATTTTCCGTTTACTAAGCTGGGAATTATATCCGCCTATTATATGTTTATTAATAGAATTCAGAATATGATTAAGACCTTTAAACCTTTTGTTTTAATCATATATCGCAACTGCTTCTTTAAGATTATTTTACACTCACATTTAATTCCACTGTGATTATTAGAGTGGTTCATTGTAGTTAGCTTATAGAGAGTTCGCCTTATCAGAGGTTGGTGCAATGAGAAGAGAGATTCAAGATTTTTTTAGTAAAATACTCACTAGTTTTGTGGATATTTTCTTGTTGTGATATTATTTGGCTATTCAACCATTTTAAGTAAACCATCTTATTAACAGACATACATTAACTAGGAAGCACAGAAGAAGTGATATAAATCAAAGGGTATTTGAGAAATTAATTCGCGTGCACTTTCACATTTAAAAATCTAATAATAAGCTATACAACTTCTCGTGTCCTGAACAACATTAAGTCTAGCTGAAGCATGGTAGGCGTGACATTCACTTGTCAATAATTTCGGCACGTGAAAAAATGTTTTAAAGTTGGTCTTGAACGAATATTTTCAATACATTTCAGGTAATGCACTATAGCTACACAGCAAAACTGAACTCATTATCGTGCAGTATATGTATAATGTTTAAGTTAGTACCCAGTCAGTATGTCAGTCAATGAAATTATGTGGTAGTATCAGCAAAGATAAATGTGATATAAAACATACACATTATTTACTAACTGGTAGGCTTTTTCAGTTTTTCATATTAGCTGTTGATATGCATCGGAGATAAGACATAACTTATATTCACACGATACTACTTCATAAATTTAAAGAATAGTGTAAGGACGGCTCCCGACGAACTCAAGGAATCTTTAAGAAGCTATAATAGAGCCGAAGACATTTCATCCAACCATCGTTTGAAAGAACATTCCAGAATCTCGACGTGTAGCTTCCCGAATGGACAAATACCTCAAATCACTGGATGCAGATTGAATGACTGTAATGATGATTTCGTTTTTATCAAAAACGATAAATACCTGATTATTTTGCACCATATTTGACACTGTTTGGAATAAAATTCATTCCTACTCTTCTTTTGTGTTCTATGTTGTGAATTGGAAGGTCCTAGTGTTCGAGTTCTCAAGTTATACATGGTATTGCAAAAATCCATGTTTTAGATATAACAAATAGTAATCGTGATTGCCTAATAAGTTCTAGTTCAACGGTCCATGACCAGAAAGTTACAAAGAGATTTGTATACTGAATTGTACTTTAGCACGAATTTTTTCGGTATGCTTTTTAAAATCCATTTGCTGTAGTTTCTTCTGTTTTTATATTGATCAAAATGATTTTGCAAAATTCCATTAGTTAAATCACATTTCAGTTATCAGTCTGTCATGACTATCCCTTTGTTTTTTATTTAATTTCGTAATTATTTGGTGATAAATACAATTTTGTCAGTTAATTAATTAGTAATATCATACAATTATTTTTCCATGGAAATGCAAGAAATCAACATTGTTTATTTTTTAAACTTTAAACTTTTTCTTATACCGGATAACTTCACTACCATAACCCTTGAATTTACTCTTATTGTCAGGTTTTATGTGCGGTGATGTTGTCTGGGATAAAGACGGTGTTGGGGCTTTAGCAGTTATGGCTGAACTCACTTCTTATGTTTATCGTAAAGGAAAACTATTATCTGATCAATTAATAGAGATTTATAACATGTAAGTGTTAATAAATGGATTATACTTAGGAAATATTAACCTTTATTGATTTTCATCAGAATGAGGATTTGTGGAGATTGTAGTAATTTTAATATTGAATTCTTAAGTCGATCTAAGCTAGACCACCATTGAAAACCTTTTGAGGAGTTTTATACTAGGATGAAACGGCTGTTCAGTGCTTCCAGGTTTTCAGTTGTAGTCTAGCTTAGATCGACTCATGAATTCAACCATTAAAAATTATTGATTTATTGGCTGGTAAAAACACTATCAAACCTTAGGTCTAAAGTGTCTTAGGCCTATTTGAAGTTTCGATCCACTGCTTGGTCATTAAGCTCTGAGATGAGGGGAGAAGATATATTCGGTCATTTATAAATTTGATATGATACCATGTTCAAGCAACTACTCAATCAATCACTGTTGTAAACTCGGTAACTATTTGTCAATTAGTCATTCGAATAGTGACACCTGATATTTTGTTCATCCTACTCTTTTCTTTTTCACCTGGAAGAGTATTTAATCACTTTTGAGATGGAATATATGTTTCCAGTTAGTTACTTAAACGATTCTAGTGCGTTGTACAGGATATCATCTGGTACCTAAATCAAATTATGTGGATTAGTGTTCCCTACATTCATGTCAATCATCCTCCTACGAAGAGCTTTAAATATCACATTATTTCGTCTTTACTTTATTCTTTCTGAAAACTAAGTACTGTTGACTATTAACAGTCAAACGTTTGGCTTCATTAATGTATTCGAAATTCATGGTTTTCTTTTAAGATAAGTTTACTGGTTATACCTTTTCTGGGTTTCTAATTACCTTTTATTTAATTGTCATGCAGTTGACTTTTTGAACTCTGTTCGTTCATCATTATAATGTTTTTCTTATCTTTAAGCACGCTCGCACATGTACACACCCTTTTTTCATGACTGATTACTACAATCAACAAAAATGAATAACCTTAAAGAATTGATTTTTCCCCATCACAATAAGGCCATTAGTGATTTAATTTTGATTTTAAAAAATGCATTTGGAACTAATTATAACTAACTGAGCAACCATACCTTTTCCTTTTTGTTTGTTTTATGTGATAATATTTTAAGTTAATGAATATTTGTCAGTTGCTTCTCATTTTTGAATTGACTAGATTCCATAAGCTGATGACATACCCACATATTCTTAGATTATTTATACATTCTAGTAAACTTCCAAGTGAATTAAATTTGACTATTCGATAGATCGCGAATTCTTTTCGAAATCAGATAAATGCATGATTTTTAAAAATCAGTGTAGATAAAATGTTTTTGGTCCATAGCTCCCTATTGATTAACTCGGAGAATCGTACTCTATATTTTTTGAATATTCAATGATGGTTGTGTTGTCATGGTTACTAGTAGAGACGCATAAAATGTTAGCATTCTAGGAATTCTACTTCATCTAAACTCAGTTTTGTTCGCTACAGTGCAGCGTACACGAGGATACATGTAAATATTATGTAGGAATCACATGTTTGTATTGTAACAAATATGTTCCTACAGACTAGTAATTTCATCAAAATGATTCTATATCAAAGATCATAGACATTTCTGAACTATGTGAGATCAATTATTCCCTTTATTATGATGAATTGCTAGGATCTTGAAATAAATTCCTCGGATAGTTCAGTCAAGTATTGGAGTCTATATTTTGACTTTTCTCCGCGAGACTGTTAGGTCCTGGGTTCGAATCCCGCGAGGCGGGGTCGTGGATGAGCATTGCTGAGGAGTCCCACAATAGGACAAAACGGCCGTCCAGTGCTTCCATATTTTCCATGGTGGTCTAGCTTCAATTGACTCATGATCTCAACTATTGAAATTACTACAATCTCCACAAAACCCCTTCTGATACTTTTCTGCTAATGTTTGTAAAAATCAGAATTCATCCAATAGCCATAAATCATTTTCCACTATTATCGTTTTTGATGATCTGTAAATATATCTTTCACACAAGAGTTATTTTCACTATCACCTTATTTTAACCATAGACTTTTCATCTATTCATTTATTCCAATAGCCCGTTGGATACTTTAGTTCAATGTAATGATTTGAACACATCTGGGGGAAAAAGTGACATGCTTCATTCTAGTCAATTAAAGTTATTTCATTAAGTAATTTAACTAATAACCATTTTATGAATGTTGATAATCTAAATAAGTAATTAGAACGGGGAGCGGAAATTTTTCAGATCCAAAGTTTACACCACTGTTCATCAGTGAATTCTAGCAAGAACCATGTATTTTAGACCATTTTTACCAATTGCAGAAATAAACACGTTTGTTTTTATTTCACATACTTAACTTTATATTATACACCCAATATGGACAAATGATTACTTTCTTTGCTGCCTTTTCACGTTACTTTTTATTGAATATCAGTTATGGTCAACATATTTCCAATAATGGTTATTACTTTTGTCATGAACCGGAGAAAATTGTTAAAATGTTCAATCGCATACGTAATTGGCCTAATGAACCTGGTCCTAAAGGCTATCCTCAAAAACTTGGTCGATTTCAAATAACTGGTATACGGGATTTAACAGTTGGTTATGATGATCATTATCCAGACTTAAAACCGGTAATATTAATTCAATTCCACACTGATGTGAACCATTTCCTGTTATTGTTTTGAATTAAAGTTAGATTAGGACTAACGCTAGGATCCGGGATTTATATTTCGTTTGCTGAGTGTATTTAAATCTCATTGTTATTGTTTGTGTTAAAACGTGAACTGAGTACCTTTTGACTTCAAATTCCAACACGTCATCCACTATGTTTTTGAGTCCAAATAGGCACTATCTTATGCAATCAACATGAATTTTGTTTATAAGAGTATGGACTTTCCCTTTGTTAATATCTTTCTTGGTATATATGCATTCTAAGCAAATTACCCTGATGCTAAGATTTAATCATAAGTTTTTATTAAAGTTAAATGATGATTGACAATAAAATCCAAAATACATGTTATGTCCTATTGTATTGCTTTTTTTCTCACTTCAATTTATACATTATTTAAAGTTCATACTTGTTTCGAAGTAAATGCACCGTGTAAAATTATATCATATACGTAGGAAGATAGGTATACATGTGCATCACACAACAATGTAATCACGTCTTCATAAAGCTTGATAATTTGTGTTTTATTATATTGTGCTCGTTTAATTAACCTAAGGTCATCGAATCGGAGTCAAAACGTTTGATAAACTATTTATGTGTAGTAATGCATTGATACAGATCAAGTAAACCAATTTGAAAATTGACTACACCATGTTAAAAAGACATTTAATTTCAAAAGAAATCATCTTATCAGTAAGCTTAGTAGGTATTACGCTACGTATTCTATGCAAATAAATAATAGAATACAGTGATTCGTTTTTCATATCTTGTCATTCATATGTGTAGTAATTTAATGCTTTAATGTTTAACTCTTTCGTTTAGTCCACCAATGAAATATCTGACTTAATTTCTTCTTTTCTGTCCAGGTATTACCTGTTAGTAAGTCAAGTCAGTTGATTACTTTTGATTTCTCAAATGGTGTGACACTAACTCTTCGTACAAGTGGAACGGAACCAAAAATTAAATATTATTCTGAATTGAGGTCGAAACCTGGAAGCGAGTAAGTGATTTCATTTTTCTAACATTATCGTTTCTTAGTATAAAATCCCTCAGTAATCCATACTTCCAGCATATTTTGATATCATGTTTATTATTTTTAAGACTCGATTTGCAATACAGTAGTAATAACACCTTCAATAGTAGTCAACTTGATCATTGCATTGTTTCGTTGTACATGTCACAACTTTCTATTAGATTCTAACTTGTAATGACTAACTGACACTACGTCTACCATGGGACTTAGCTATCTTAAATGTAGTTTCAGAATTGATTTTGAGTAGTCTTTGATGTAGGTTTTCGCACTACTCCTCAACAGATACCCAGTTTTTCATGCTTTTAGACAATTTTTAATTTATGCATCATATGGAAAATATTTTCGGATCAGTCAGTGTTTTCAAAGCAATGTGCCACATTGTTTGTTTCTTTCTGTTATATGTATCTACTTTTTTATATACTTATTGTTAACAGGATGATGTAATTATGTCATCTATTTTACAGTAATACACGGTAAAAGTAGGGAAAATAACGAAACTAACAGGAAAGAAAATAATAACAATAGAAAACAATTTATAGCAGAAAATAAAACATTTTTGAAAAGTTTATTCGTTTGATGAGAATGGATGTGTTATTACGATTGATCCTTAGTCATTTCGTTTTTTAAAGGCACTCCTCGTCCCCCTAACTAACTATTATTGATTGATGTCTGATAGATCCATGATAAATGAACTTTTTCCGTTTTCAACCTGATTTCACTCAGCTTTCATAAACATCACTTGACCATTGCAATGTTTTGTTCTAATCACTGTAATACTCACTGTCATTGTAATTCCTATAGCTAAATCAACAAGTATAGAGATTTATGAAATGAAAATAATCGCTTTTGTTAAAAAATAATGTACTTAAACTTTTTCCTGATAGATATATTTCAACTGTTCAACAAACTTGCTATGATCCCTTTCAATAAAAAATATGCTGACTCTTGAGTATACTAAAATCAAATAACAGGAGATAATTACCTGTGACATAGAAGATGGTTCTCGATAATTTTTTATGTCATAAAGTGGAAATCCAACTTTTTTTACATTTAGAATTTTAGTCTATAGGAATGGTGTTTTTCTCATCCAACATTATGCAGTGAATTCATCAAATCTGAAAATATTTCTCCCTATGAATTTAGACTAGCCGAGAATGAATTAAAAGCAAGGTGTATCACTTTAGTAAATACTTATCATGTGGCTCGTGACGAATATTCCGAAATTGTAGTGTAAAATAGTAGTATTAGTTTACTTATTGACTACTCTATTGGATGAGGATCATATCTTATTGCAAATTAATGAAGATTAGAAATATAGATCACTGGATTCTACTTAGATCGACACTTCAATATCCTATATTCATTCACAAGTGAGCTTCCTGATGTGTACTGATGTGGAGTAGTTACAGACTAGAACAAAATAACTAACGAGTACATTCTAGTTTTCAATGATCCTTTAATTTATATTAATTTGTAGTACAAATTACCTTCATTTTGTAGAAAAGTTTTATGAAACCACTTTAGTAAATGATATTTGTTTATTTATGAGGAAATAATGTTGATGTATAACTTCTCCAAGATTATTAGTATCTTCATATGAGGATATTTCTAACTTTTTTTCTTTTACACACTCTACTTCTCAATTTGTTGATATAAGCTGTGAAAACTTATACCAATTTACATTCATCAAAGATATCTGAATAATTAACTATATTACGTTTATTAATCAGTTAAGTTCATATCATTCTATTTGTTTCATATATTCAACTGCAAAGTTTTATTCAAAGATATGAAGTAATCTAATGAATTTTATATTATTCACATGTGAAATTTAATTAAATTAACTAAATAGTTTGATTAAAAGAAAAATGTTTATTATTAATTATATACGTGACCATTTATTGTTTAGGTTAAAATCTATTGTGTTATATATTAGTTTAGATTAACCATTTTTATTCTTATATAAATGATTATTTCATATTTATCTATTTAATGTAATTCATGTATTAACACAGATTATAAATGAAACGTTAATTATAATTCACAATAACAACGACAACAACAACAAAAATCATAAACGTCAAGAAATAATAATGTTAAGAATTCTATCTAACTAAATTCAATTCATGTAAATTTATCTAACTGTAAAACATATTAATTTGACTTGAATTTCATAGCAACAACCAAATTTTTTTTAAAATTCAATGTTAAGAAAAATAAGCGATGAGACTATAATTTATGAACAATCTTTGAGCGACGCTAGACTGACTTTGAAACCGTTCATCTAATAACTAGGACCAAATGAGGGTTATAAATCTGCGTGAGGAATTCGAATTTTGATTTACAGTTGATGGCTAAGGTTAGTAATTATATTTAGGGGTTTTCATCACAAACTGACATCAGCTATAATGTCAAATTGGTATTTAACCAAATGGGTGGGTTAACTTTGTGTTGAATGATGGATGTAATAAAAATTCAAATGAGAAATAAGTTACATGAATTTATTTTAGACATTCGTTTAGTCAGACAGATAAATAGGTTAGAAGCAAAGTGGAAAAACCAAGCATACCGACTTGATTTGACAAAGCATAACTCAATATTTATAGCCAGATAGAAAAATCACATATGTGATGAATTGAACAAGCGATACATACATATAAAATCATATAAAAATGATCAAAGTTAGAATGGGATAGATGACAAAATCAAGTATAAATGCTTACTCAAAAAGTATAAATCAATTAATCTGCTCAAAAGCCGAAATAATCCATGTAGGTGTGACAGCACTAAAAGTTGTAGTCTTTTAATATTAGTTGATATTTCTCACTGATATCTCATGAATATAAAATCAGTGCATGCTGAATACCATCTACTCTCTAGTGTATATTAAAAAGAATTTATGTTCAATCCATTGTAAATTCCATCAATATACTAATTGCATCTATTTGGTTTTCTTTTTTTTTTTAACCAAAACAAAAATCAATGAATTCTAGAGCATCTGTGGAATCTTTAACAAATGAACTTCAAGAACTTGTGAATAAAATGATTGAAGAATTTTATGAACCTGAAAAAAATGGTTTCCTTCCTCGTGTGGATTAAATTGACATTGTTATTTACTTATTTGTTTTAGTTGTTTATTAATTTAAAGGAAAGAAAATCAAGCTTTGTTTTTTGTTGTTGTTCTATGTACTTTTGTTTGTTCACTCTTTGTTATTGACCTTTTTTCTATTTTTTTTGTTCGTTTATTTATTAGTTCACTAATTTAATAAATTTTGAATGATATTTTGTGTTAATTTGTAGCTTTGATTTTCAATTTCATTTTGATGATGAACAGAAAAATAAAGTGTTTTAATTATTTGTTATTGTGGTTTAATGTTAATTATTTCTGAATCTACTGGTATCTGTTGTTATCTCAGTTGTTAACACAGATAATTGGATAACGTTGCTTATCTAATAATGTCAAGATTCTAATTGGAATGGTGGGATTGGGAATGTGCGAAATTTCTGATCTACTAATGAGGGATGTATATGTATCATAATTATCTTTGATATTCTCAATCTATTCCATACTCAATCTTTCTTAATTCAAACATAATTTATATACATTCGATTTTCAGTAACACTTGTTACTGACAAATATTTATTGATAGTATATATGGCTGGATTGTAGGAAATTTATTATACTTGAGTTTTTATGAGCTCACTAATATTTTGACATACGAATAGCTGATGGTCTCTAAAATGGGTGAAGCGTGTGTCCTCAGTTCACTGTTTAACAGGTGGATTGGTACGCTTGTGTTTCACTACTACTAATTTTTCTTGTACGTTAAACATGTGATCGGTAAGCTATAACTCAATATATTTAGTTACTTGCTACCGTTTCGAACGTACTTTGGGTTTTATCTAACATAAGTGATATCCTTACACACTCCTAACTATCTTTAAGAGTTTTCACACTGAAACGCTCTTATCTTTTTTAGATAAGATTTAGTATCCCACATAGACATTCTCCATTTGACAATCTTGATGTTATCAATCACTGTCTGTAATTAAACCTAAGATAATTCTTTTGTAAAAGATGACTTTCAGAGTTTTCCTGGAAGATATCTGTCAAAAACAATAATAAGGAAGATGATTCAGTGTTGTTTTTGCTGGAACAATGTCAGATTGATAAATGTTGGTTGAATTGGTCAAAGGAATTGTACGTTGAACAATAATTCGCTGTTTTCGTTGCTCTATTTAGACTAGATAACGGTCTACACAATAATCGGACGAACCCATACTTCTGCGTATTATAGGATTAATGAAAGAATTTATCTCAAGTTCACTTTTATATTAATACAGTTAAGTACGTAACACATGTTAAAATTTGAAACATAAAAATTGAACCGATTTCAAAATCATGCAAGAAAAATATTGTGGTAAATAATGTATTGGGTCTCAGTGTGTAAAACTTTCCTAATTCCCCATGTTTCAATATCTGTTTATATGAGTGGATAAACATGGTTAATTGTACTTATGATGTGACTTGATGTAAGTCCCAGGTATGTCTTCTAAAATGTATGTTTATTTAAATTCCAACCACTTTATAATAAAACAAAAACTTGAATATATCGACTTAATCTACATAAGATGTACATATGCTAATCAAGGTTAATCAAAATTCAGTCAAAAATATGCAGACGGGATAATCTTAAGCATTACAAATTAAAAGTCCTGCCCGTTGCACAAGTAAATAAATATTTGACTTCTATAGCTAAGTGGATAATATGTTAGTGTTTAAAGCGAAATTTACGGGGTTCTAACGGTGGAGTGGATGTCATCTTTGGGATGGATGTGCATCCAGTTGAAGGGTACCGAACAGGACTAAATACGTGTTCTGGATATCACTACTAACCACATTCCGTCTATACTTTGTAATAAATCTAAAGGTTACTATTTAGTACTTTGATTGTCCAGCTACCTATATTCGCGTCAATACTATGGGTATCAGGGAGCTTTCTATTAAATGTTTTTTCTACATTCTTCCAAAGTGATTGTTAACAGATTTTCATTTCCGAACATGATTTGTTTCACAATCGTCGGTCACTTAATATTCTCGTATGCTAACTAAGTTACTTATGAGTAGTAAAACCAGAAATTCATCATAATAAGACACTCAACCTTCGGTTTACCAGAAATTAAAAGATTGCGTGGTATTCGTAACGTCTACCGGAATTACCTAGTTTCTTAACCTTTGCTAATCGAGTCTATCTTAGGAGTTACTACTGAAGGGTCATAAATCACTTTCACCAACATAATAGGCGGCCTGCTTGAATATCTGGGCTACCTGTTCCTCCGATCTACATATTTCATCAAGTTATCTGTTTTGTTGTTTGTTTTAGCACATCATTATGTCTATTGTGCACACAATCTATTCAGGCGCGTTTATGAAAAGTTTACAACCTTTCGTTATAAGGGATACAAAAAGGTACAATCGGCGACATCACGGTGGCTGGCAATATGCATTTAAACGAATGAATAATAATCAAATGTGGATTATCGAACTCTTAACATCTAACTGATCATCATTCAAGATTTATCGTCACGATCGATCAAGATATAAGAAAAGGAAACTTGTTGAAATAATTTATACTGAGAATTCTATGTTGTATCAAAAATATAATGTTGAATAAAGCTTCTAATAATAATAATAACATCGAAATTGGACCATAGTTCAATAAAAAGTTTAGTTGGAACAAGATTTTTCCCCGCTTAATTAAAGCATATATGACGAAAGTAAACATGGATTCTAGTTTTCTGGTCCGTGATATTGAGCGACCATCACAAATACCTTTTACGATATTTACCTCTTTTTCATCATTTTCAGACCCTATCAATGGTGTCTGGAGATTAAAGAATTCTCAAACGTAGTCACTAGCAAACACAAATTCTATTAAGGTAAGAAATTAGCTTGAGCTGCTTAATGCAAATCATTCACCATTTATGACAATTCAATAGCGCAATTATTGTATAAACACTTGTTTATTTCCGAAAATGAAAAAAAGATCGTCTTTAAACACTTTAACTTTTCTCTAATGATCTCCATTGAGATCCAGGAAAAATTACTAATGAGTAAAAGAAATATTGGTGAAAAAAGATTTATATGAATAAGTCTTATGAAAAAATATTTGTGTACAAAAAGGATTATTTAAAAATAATTTTATGACAAACTAATATCATCCAAGGGACAGTATTGCAACAAATAATTTACAGATAAGCAATAAACTCTCGACTCTAAAACTTCCAACAAATATGCACTTTTGAAAGCAATAGGGATCATAGCGTCTAACACTGAATTTGTTATATTTTAATCCTTATGCAGAACTCCAGTCTTTCATATTCTTTAAATACAGTCAGTTTATGACGGTGTAAAACTGTTAATTTATGCCATTGTCAAGTGTTAACCTTAACTTTTGATTTACATATATATGTAGCACAAACTAGTTTTGTACTCCCAGATTTTGTAGTATACAGTACTTTTACATGTAGTTTTAAAATGATTTAAGAATACATCTTTTAGATATTATTATATGAAGAAATCGATGGTAAATGTCCATAGTCTGTTGAGTGTTGCACGATAGTTTACATGATTGGTGTGCCATATTTCTAAGATATGCTGCTAAATCCCATACATATATATAGAATGTGAATGAAATATTTATACATCAACTAATCTTGTGTAAAAAAGCTTATCGATTGACATATCATAATAAACAATCATTTCTTTGAAATCACCTAATATCATTTAATTGTTCGTACAGTTTAGTTTCTTTACTTAGCATAAATATAATGTGAATCTTTCAGATGTGGTTACGATAACTCCTTTTTCTATTCACAGAAATGAAATATCTCATCTCGTTTTAAATTCACTATAGACAGACATTTGATTTTTATGTTTGTCTGGATTTCTCTACCAATCTACATACCGTTTTTGCCTATACAACTATTTTTGTCTGTTGCATTTTTCGAACGTTTTCTTACCGAATGTTAAATTCTGACGCCAATCAATTTTTTATTTTATTTTAATTTTTACAGCCTGTTTACTTGAAGGCACATATTATATGCTAACTACATGTCTACTACAGAGTTTACTCACTCATTGTATAAACATACTCTTCTACTTAACTGTTTATTACGAATAATGATGAATTTTGAAGAGAGAGCGTTGTTTTTCTCACTTCAATTATTATTATTATTATTATTATTATTATTACTATCAAAGTCAACCGTGGTAACTGACCATCTGTTGCGTGGATTTGACACATTTATTTAGTTTTTTTCTTTTTGACAAACTACAAACAAAATATGAAATAATGCAATAACAATGTAAAAACAAAGTAACAAGAAATTTTTTTCTCAAGAGGATAATCCACGTCTCTTTATTTAAGCATACTGAACTTGGAAAATTACGTAAGTCATGTGATATACTAACACAAATGACTAGATGCATATGGTAATTACTTGGTTAGATGAGGAAATTTCAATCTATCCCTTTTTTCACCTTTTGAATTTGGGTATAGATTTTTAAATACTGATAAAGCTTTAAAATTTATTGGTTAATTTAATTACATAAAACATGATGTAGTCAACAAGGATACAAAGTAACTATATGATGAAAGTTTAAATAATTTTGTTCAGATCACTCCAAAATCACTAAAAAGCTAGACAAGCATAACACTGATCATTGTTAACTGATCATTGTTAACTGATCAGTATATTGTAAATATATGTCCTACAGGAGACTAGTCGCTCTAAAAATATGAAGCTAGATTACGCAAGTTTTAACTTACGTGGAAGCATTAGTTCACTCTAATAGGCATGGTTTCCTACCAATTAACATTGTCCACAAGATGTTGAGCCATTCACATCAGCGATCACATTGTTATTTGGTCGATGGGGTTTAATCAACAGTGTAGGACAAAACGGATATGACATTAATCACTACTCACTAATTAGTCAACTATTATAATCAAAAATATTAATCGAATCTCAACCGAGATAACTATGCATTTAAATGTCACCTTGTTCGTATGATATTTATGATTAATGACGTTAACAGATTTATGTTTGGTTGAAGGGCAAGAACTCGGCTTATTAAATTAAATATAAACTTTAGGATCACAAAACAAATAATTTACAGTAAGAATTATTTTTCAATGAGTTCATTTTCATAGAGGATCCAATTGTATTCATGTGAACAAAGTTATATGTCTATAAAAAAATTGTATATTCAGTATATTTGATACGCACTTAGCAGCAGAATCTGCATTTTGTCCTATTTAAGGAGAACCTGTTGGATGTACATGCATCACAGTGTAT